GCGAAAACAGCCTCCTATGCTCTCTGGAGGCTCTTCCGGGTTGCTCGTAGGGCCGGTTTTAGCCCTCCGGAGCCTTCAGGGAAGCCTCCTGAAGGCTCCTGAACACTCTGGAGGGCTAAAACCGGCCCTACGAGCAACCCAGAAGTGTGTTCTTGAATTTCCGGTTTGCCCGTAGGGCCGGTTTTTCACACTCCAGAGGCCTCGAGGAAGCCTTCAGAGGGCAAAAAATGGCATCAAAAGGAGGCAGAAGTCAGCTGACCATCTGACAGGGCAACGCCTCACGTGCCCTGGCAAATGGCTCCATGTGCCATCTGTGGCATGCGTGCCATAGGTTCGCCATCACGGACATATGATATTTGAAGGCAAAGCTGTTCCACTGGTTAATTGTCCTCACTGTTAGGAGGTTTCTCCTTAATTTCAGGTTGCTTCTCTCCTTGATTAGTTTCCACCCATTGCTTCTTGTCCTGCCCTCTGGTGCTTTGGAGACTAATTATTTGACCCTCTCTTCTTTGTAGCAGCCCCTCAAATACTGGAATACTGCTACCATGCCACCCCTAATTCTTTTTTTTTTCTTTAGACTAGCCAAAAACCAAAACCTGCAGCCATTTTTCATATTATTCCTTTGACCATCTTAGTTGTTCTTCTCTGATCTTATTGGAGTTTACTTTCTCAGGTGAGGTGAGCCAGCTCCCTCTCTCACTACCACTGTAGAGAATGTCATGTAGTGAAGAATTATCCAGAAGCTTACTTTCTTTTCTCAATTAGGCTGTCTGCCTTTCTGAGTATTTTCCCAGTCTATCCAGGTAGCCCCTGAAACACGACTGCAATTGAGTCCCAACATTTCCGTTGCTAAGCGAGACAGTTGTTAACCGAGTTTTGCCCCATTGTACGAATCTCTTGCCACCCTTGTGAAGTAAAATCACTGCAATTGTTACGTGAGTAACACGGTTGTCATGTGGATCTGGCCTTCCCCATTGACTTTGCTTGTCAGAAGATCGCCCTTCTGATTTAAGAATCAGGTGGCCTAATAAATGAGTAAATGATTCTGTGAGGTTTTTATGGCTTGCTGGGATAATATACGTAAAGACGTGAACTATATTAACTCAGTGATAGATTACCAACAGTTGATTATTTGGTTGAAAAGATAACCAACCAACCAACCAAACCTTTATTTGGTTTCTAGTCCTGCTTGAAATGCTATCACGTGGCCTGCTGTCCGCCACCTAAATCTGTTTTTATTGATTTACTTATTTGTTACATGCATTTGCTGCATATTACGCCATGGGGCTACTCTAGGCAGCCTTCGATGACAAAAAAGGAAGAAACATGAAAAAGGGTGTAAAGAGAACAGTAGTAAAATAATAGAACAATAAAGTAGCCAATGGCAAAAGAACACAATGAGAATAAATACATCAATAGGATAACCCAAATGATGGGTGGGTGGAGAGCAGAGAGCAAGTGGCGAGAGATGGAGCCTGCAATCAATCTGGCAGCTATCTCCAATGTGAACTCCTCCATTTGGTCCCCAGGCCTACTATTACTACTCCTACTCCTACTCCTACTACACCAGTACACACCAACAGCTTGGTTACCATTAGCTAATATTAAGAATAGAAAGCTGCTACATGCAATTCACGAGCTTTGTGGCGGACTCTTCGCGCAGTTGCATGTTGCAACTTTGCTGCTTCTTGTATCTTCACGCTGGAGATTTGCTTGCATTTTCTTTGAAGGAAACCTTCACAAGTAGGAATTGGGGTTTTGGGGTCTCCCTGTTTTTACCGTGAACCCCTCTTCCTTTCTCTTGCCTTTTGGGGCTAGACAAGTTGGGTGTCTGTGTGCATGTCAATTCCACTGGTTGCCAAGGTTCTTGGTTGGCATCTATCAAGTGCTGATTGTCCGTCCCACCCACCCACCCACCCACCCA